GTCATCCCGCAATGACTTCCAGCAACATAAACTCCAAGATAGTCCCAGTTTCCGTTGCATCTTCAATTTGATTTCCAGGCTAGGTATCCCTATAGATCGCTACATACCCCTATATACCCGTATCTGACCCCCGTATCACCCCTTTCAATTATCGGGCTAGATATCCCAAGCCATACCAAGTGAGTCCTATAGCCTCGAAATCCAGTAGCTTGGCTGAGGCCGTTCTGTCGCGGGATCTGCCTACGCATTCACGCCATCATCGCGTGCGCAGCTGAACCGCTGCCATGTGAGTGGTGCTTTGTTTGGTAGCCTATACTCATGCTTCTAGAGTAAGATCATATCCTACTGTGGGTATAGTCTCTTGTACAAGAAAGATAGTCTTATTCCAAGCAGGGGAGAAGGTGGTAAGAAGTTGCGTAGAGTCGTAGAGGCTCTGAAGACATACCACTAAACCCTAAACCCTAGACCCACACCCTATCATATTGCTGTAGTTATGCAGCTTGTTAACGTTCACCACCTCCTACAAACCGGTGCAAGGCGGCCTTGAGCTATGTAACTCTATATATCCCTGCATATTCCTATATACCCCTCAAGGTTTAGGGTTTACGGTTTAGGTTTTAGGGTATCTCCCCTCTCTATTGTTGGGCTACATGCGCAGCCTTCCCTAAACCCCAAACCCTCCTTGAGTTCAGCGATTTGCAATTGCTGCGCTTCGAGGCTGTGCTACATCTTCTCCCCAGTGGGCGAGACGGTTCCACACTTAATCTTCTGTTCGTTGGGTTTAGGTATAGGGGGTTTGAGTGCTTTTTTTTGGTAGGGTTTCGGGCTTGAGGTTGTAAGGACACTGCACAATTTCAAGCAGACCACATATACAGTATAAACTAATCTTATTACTGTTACTATTATTACTGCTATTATTGCTAGAATTGTTACTACTATCATTATCATTAGTATTATTACTTTTACTACTAATGGCAGGCCTCGGAGAGAAGGTTATTGGCTCTGAAGGCGATCGACGCCAAGCTTGTGTTGTAAAACCAGAGGAGCCATAGTCTAAACTCCTTCAAAAAGGGTTATATAAGGATTGTATGACCTCTTTAATTGAAGGTGTAGGGTTTAGGATTTAGGGTTTGGGGTCTAATCTCCTTAAAAGGGGGTTAGATAGGGTGATTATATACCCTCTTTAATTTAGGGTTTAGGATTTAGGGTTTGTGGTTTGTGGTCTAAACTCCTTAAAGGGGGGTTGTATACGGGATGGTATAGGGGACTATTATGCAGGGGGATACTAGGAGTTTAGACTATGGTTCAGATGAGGCACCCAGCCAGGCTGCAGCAGAAGTTTGATCAACGGTCTTCAGGGGTATATGGGGATATATTATCCCCATAATGAAGAATCAATTGAAAATTAGAAATAACATGCAAACTGGGACTACATAGGGGCTTATGTGGGATGAAGCTGTCATCCTTTCCGGGATTACAAGCAAGCTTAAATGTGCAATTTGAGCTGCAGCTTGACATCCCGCACTTTGAGGTGGATGGTTCCTGATCCCTCAGATTCAGCGCGCCCCAAGCACAACTTATCTTCGGACCCAAAAGTCGCACAGGGAGTTCCAGAAATTGGGAGTCCCTTTGCCACAGGTTCTAGTAACTTGGGCTTTATTCTGGGGAGCCCCACTTTTTGGACGTACGCAAATCCCAATCCCTAGATGCTCTTGACCGGGACCGAGTCGTGGACCCGAAAATCCCAAACTCGAATGTCTGAAGCCTAAACCTGCCTTCAAACCTAATCCGAAACCTCAAACCAAGCCCGAAACCTTGTATGCATAAGGTGTATATATGTACACACATATGAATAGCTACATATGTTCTCATATCTGCACATATACACAAGTGTACATACAGAGATATGTAGCCTGGGCTGGAAAGGTTTTGAAGAATGTGCAGATTCAAGCGCAGACGCTGGAAGCTGTGGAGGTCTGGGAGGGGGAAGGGGTGGATGCCAGGGGCCTTTAGTTGATTTAGGTTGGTTGGCTTAGGGGTTTAAAGTTTAGGGCTTGGCTTCTCGAGCTTAGGCTTCGGGATTTGGGCTTGGGGTTTCTTCCTTCATGCTTCTTGTAGGAGTAGATCATGATTGAATGTAGCAAAGGCAGTATTCCTGCATAATATTCCATGCATGAGTACATTCTACTGCCCTCAGCAATCGCAGCTCATGTATCATAATCTTTCAGACTGTCTGCAACGGGTATGTATCAAGATTCTAGTCCTGCATATTCTGTGAAACTCATGCGATCAACAACGCAGCAACTGCCCAAAAGAGAAGTCACATGCTGAAAAGCCGACAAGCTGTGCTGATACTGATCTCTGATGCTTCAAACGCATGTTGAGCTCCCCGGGCTTCACGAGACCCAGATAGGACCTGACAGGAAATCCGAAATCCAACCCTAACTGTCCAAGTACCAAAACACTACTGTTTTAGGTACTAAAACCTCATTCTTGGGGTGTTTGGACCCTATATAACCCCTGCATAATGTATAATCCCTATATAATTCTTATATAATCCCCATGTAATTCCTATAACCCCTGTATAATCCCTATATAATCCCCATGGACCCTTAGGGTGACGTAAAGTCTGGGTTTTCATCGGAGATGGCAAGCCCAAAGAATCCTACCTTGGTGGCCTGAATGAACGCCGCTATTGAGCACTGCGCTTTAAGGGTATCATGGAAAAGAAAAGAAAATGGAAACTGCTATAGTATATTGGGATTACATGGGGTTTAGGGCTTAGGGTATATAGGGTTGAGGGTTTAGGGTTTACATTTGAGTAGAGACTTGTAAACTGTGGGGTTTGAATCCTTGAGTCTAAGATGCTCGCAAGAATGATCATGAAGGAGGGAGAGCATCACTAAGAGGATCGGAGGGATCTCTCATAGCTAGACACCACAGTAGATGCAGAATTTGGCTTTCTGTATGTTCCCACACCCTCAACTTATAGCCCGTAACAAAAGCAGAACACACGGCTCTCGAAGCGGCATACGGGGATATTTGCGCGAAAGCGTTTTCTTGAAATCAAGCCAATCGAACATCAATTCTCAACGAGGGAAATCAAGATTTGCAGGTCGAGTTCTTACTTGCATGTTTCGTCAGAAGCATTGTTTATTTTTGCTTTGGGCTTATCACCAATGAGATCTCCTAGAAGTTTTCGGCAACCCGCTGAACAGTACAAAGGCTCATAAAGCCCTATCAATGCACAGAAGCATCGCAGGAGAGTACGCAATGGAGCTACTTCTATGTGGGCAACTGCATTGGCTGTCGCCTACCCAGCTGTTTCTGGACCATTGTTGGCCATAATCAAGTTCAAACCTTAAAAGCAATGAAGGTTATTCTTGTTAAGTAATACTGCAGAAGTTGCCATACTGGGTATGTATAGTAAATACTAGGGTTTCCCCAATATACTTAAATTAAGTTCCTTAACCGCAACCCAGTTTAGGCTGCACAAAAGTTCCCTTTCCAGGATCCTAAGTGCATAGCTACCCATCACAAGAAAGGCACCCGCTTGTCCTAGTTATGAGCAAGCCTAAACTGGGTTGCTGTCAAGGGGCTTCACTTAAGTTAATCTATTCGGGAAACCCTATTATTTACTATCTACACCCATTATTGTAACTTAATTTAAGTTGCTTAACAGCAACCCAGTAAACAGGCATGGGAGTTTGTGTGAAGACATGGTTCTCTCTGCAGCAGAAATGGTTTATTACAATGCTGGCAGGATGGCCGCGGCGCTAGAATGTGAAATAGCAGAGGAGTATCAGAGCCTGCGTTGTTGGCATAGTAAGAATAGTAATAAAAATAGAAACTGTAATAATAAGATACCAAGAGTAATAATAGTAATAGTAATAGCAATAGTAATAGTAACAGTAATTTTAATAATAATAGGAATAGTAATAGTAATAGTAATAGTAATAGTAATAGTAATAGTAATAGTAATAACAATAGCAATAGTAATAGTAATAGTAATAGTAATAGTAGTAATAATAGCAATAGTAATAGTAATAGTAGTAATAATAGTAATAGTAATAGTAATAGTAATAGTAATAGAATAGTAATTGTAATTGTAGTTGTAATAGTAGTAATAGTGATAAACTAATAACAATAGTACAAATAGGATCACGTGCAACAAGAGACAGAACATGATTGAAACAAGCGCCAGTACGGCAAATGCTACCGCTGTGAAAGTTACAAGAGCTAGAAGCTGCTCACAACTCTCGAACCAGGTATTCTGCAGGGTTTAGGGTGTAGGGTTTAAGGGCAGACGCCGTTTTTTGGGAGTCTCCACAAGAAGGACTATGTCAGATTGGAGTCTATATTGGGACCCCCCATTCATGGGAACCTGAACATGGTTTGTCAAGGGCATGTAGAAATATAGGATACAGGGACATAGTGACATAGGTGCATCTAGTGTAAAAAGGGGGCTTATGCCGTTTGGGATCCTTCCCTCTCAGCAAGTGGAGGCCTGATGTGGCTCAGCTTGTCTCGCGGCATCCCTCCGAACTTGCTGATGGCCATGTCGCAGGCAGCTGCAGCTTACCCTTCTGGGAATATGGGGGGTAATGTAGGGATAATGGGGTTATATAGGGATAATGGAAAAGAAAATGGAAACTACATATAGTATATTGGGGTTATTTCTTAGAACTGGCTGTCTGCTCATCCTTGGACTGTGATTCTGAGGATAAATCTGACCAGCTTACTGTGACCTTACGGCATGCTGATTGTCAGGAGGATAGGAGTGCTTGTAGAGGATCGTGCCACACAAGCTCGCAGTCGTTGAAAGATGAGAATGTATCAGGGCACTTGCAGAATCATGCAAAAACAAGCATGAACTGATGGTGCGCATGCAAATAAACCAATCACAACCCCCTTCAGATTCCCATGTTTGCTGGAATGTGTTCTTGTGGCTCAAATGTCAGGAATTTAATTCACAGAAGGGAGCGATGTTCTCTGAAGGGATGCTTGGGGCACTTACCCCTTATGTTGAGTATGCAGCCGCGGCAACATCCCTATGCTTTCTCCTATCCCCGCTGGTGGAGGTGCAGAAGGTGCATCGCTCTAAGGGCGAAGCTCTCGGGGACGTCAACCCTGTAAACTTGCTTCTAATGCTTTTAAACTCCGCACTTTGGCTGTGGTATGCAATTTTCCTCCCGGTTCCTCCAGCGGTACTGTGTAACACCATTGGGCTAGCAGCATGCTGCTACTATTTGGCCAGTTGCTGGTTCTACGCACGTCAGCGACAAGAGAAGATGTGGGGTACAGCCGCAGCGTTCAGTACCATCCTGGCCTTTATGACGATTTGCCTGGCGCTGGCCTATGCGTCGTCCTCCTCCGCGCACGTCGAGCAGGTGGGCTACATGGCCGTGGCAGTGAACATCTTGGCATATGGTACTTGGATCAAGGTCTTTTCATTTTTCTTGTCAGACGTTTCCCCTTCCAGTCATCAGGAGTCACCAGGCAATTGGAATCATGAAGCATGAAAGACCCAGGTGCCCCGCTTTCAGTGATGAGCCAGGTGATCGTTGAGCAGTGCTCCGGGCCGCTCCCTCCTGTGCAGTGCGCGCTTGCACTGTCATGCAGCTTCCTTTGGCTTCTGGTCGTTGTCACGAATGGTTTTGTAAATTTGTTCGAATTTGAAGCTCTATAGTCAAGGAGTAAACTGCGTAAAGATTATTATTGGCTGCTATCCCGCCAATGGCTCAGGCTTTGTGTTGGCCTTGACCGGCAGTCCATGCCAATGATCATCCCAAATGCATGCGGTGTACCTCTGGCTATCTTGCAGCTATTCCTTCTCTGGCGTTATCCGCGTACAAGGCCAGCAGGCAAGGACCTAATTGCCACAAGCACCGCAAAGCTCAGGCGATCTCTCCGTTATGGTCGTCATGGTTCCCGAGCCGGGGGCTACTCGCAGTTCTGGAGATCCGCACGGAAGTTGTCCAAGCCACTGGCTAGCACGATGCTTGTGGTTGGTATCAGCACAGACTCAGAGTCCAGCTGTGCGGACAAGACAGACTGCACGAGATTTGTATAGAATTCTTTGTAGAATTTTAGAACGTGTATTTGTGCCATGTGCACGTCATTGCACAGCATGTTTCGCAATGGCGGTTTGTCAGGATAAGGAGCCCCGGTCTCTCATTGCCAGTCAAACCTCAGTGGAGAAGTGCTCCAGTCCACTTCAATCAGCCAGGGGATCCTCATTTTGAGAAACTGCAAGTTGCAACAAGGCCGCCGCTGCCTTTTACAGACTAAGACCTATGCCTTGGGTACTCCCCTAATCTGTAACAGTTGGATAATATTTACAATATGGTTACATATATAGCCCTTAGTCACAGGGTGGGGGCAGTACCCAACCCATGCCTATGTCTGATGCGGAAACTTGTCGTTCTTGCGCGCTTGCAGATGCACGTTGGTTCTCCTTGGCTAGATTCAGACTTGCGCAGACTTCTTTTACACAATCCCAGACAATAAGATCATGAATACTATGAATGGCAGTACCATTAACATGAGCAGTAATAGTAGTTGTAATTGTTCCATTGATAGTAAGAGTAATGGTAAGAGTAATACTAGTAGTAATTAACTGTCACAGTAATAGCAGTACCAGCAAACATATGCGGAATAGTAATTTCTAGAGTAGTAAAAGTCATAATAGTCGTGCGGAATAGTAATATCTAGAGTACGTGCCGTAGTGAGGGTCTCCGTTTGCTGGCAGACTTGTGCACGCATGCGTGTGACGTCACGTGCAGCTGGCCATTGTTCTGGTGCTGCTTTACTCTATCTGTTGCGCTGAATGTAGATGCCATGAAAATTCGGATGATTATCTTCTCATGGCCTTGCCTTTGTGTGGCTTAGTATGGTATTGCTTGGAACTCTGTTCTAATTTGCGCCCCTACATTCCGTAACACGTTCAATTGTAAACGCTAGCGTGTGCCCCGGCTCGGGCCTGCAGCCCACGGAAAGAGAAGCTCCTCTGAAGGGCTCGTTTGTGCAGCACTCCTGTGCCTGGAGGGAAAGAGATGCTGGACTGAGCTGCAGTCTGTCCCGCATGTGATGGCTGTCGCGCGCCGTGCATCTTACTGGTGTCCGAGCGCGTGGAATACCCAAAGCGCATGGTGTTGACAGAGGTGTCCAGGTAAGAGGGTTGCTTGTAAAGAGTTCATTATTCGTGCTGGTATTGTGCTAGCCTTGGCCATTGCCAACGCAGGATTTCTCGCCCAGGTCCAACATCCAGTCGGATTTTCATGATCTGGGAGGGGTACTGTTGGTGATTCCTGCATGAAGGCTGCAACGCCATAATTCCCAAGGCATGAGAGACGTTCGGTCATGCTTGAATTGAATTTTAGTATGAACCGTAGGCCGGGTTAGTGTCCCCAATCAGGCCTCACTAAGGCTCATTCCAGGGTCAGCAAGAACTGATTGCTGTGTGGAGTCTGGCAGGTCATTTCGACTCTCTTTCTGGGCTTCTTGCCGTTCATGCAGGCATGGAAGTGCGATTGGAGCCGCCCACAGCATCCTCTGGAGATGTCATTGTCAATTTTGCTGTATAGGCAGGCCTAGGCGTGGCTTCATTCGTAAAAGGGCTTTGGGGTTCGGGAGCATACCTTCGATGATCAAGGCTTGAAGCCCAAAACGTGGTGCCAGTTCAGCAATTGCGTAAGTGGAAAGCTGTCTTTCCTTTAAGACATGCAACCTTCTCACAGTTACCCGTGCAGAATCCTCCAATAGGGACCCTTCTAGTCTGTTCATAGGTCCCATGCATCCCACCACTGTTGTGAAGGACCTCCATGTAGTTGGCAGATTTGGCAGGAGACTTTGTTCACATCCAGCGCGGCTGCTGGGGACCAAGAACTGTTGGAAGGGTAGGTGGCAATTTCATGACGAGTACAGACACACCGAACCCAACCCCCTAGACCCCAAACTATAAACCCTAAACCCTAACTCGTGTGACCCACTTGTTGTAACTCCGAAAGATACCGCCCTTAATTCTCCCTACAAGGACAGCTGTCCGCTGAAAAGAGACTATACGAGCTTCCCTGTTTGTTTGTGGCAGGATGACTTTGCTGGGCGAAACACCATTCTCAGGTCCTCGTTTACCTGGCCTTCTGTGGACTCCAGAGCTCTTCGCGACTCCTGTTCATCATCTGGAACTTCAACGAGGAAGCTTGGCAAAAGAGTCAGCAGCTGGGCATTTTGGGGCTTAGGGCAGATGATTCCAGTACGGCATACAGTGCTAGAGGTTACTTGAGCTTATGTATCAGAGGCTCCTTCCTCCAAGTCCAGGAAGACTGGTTTGCTGTGAATGGACTTCCAGTACGGTATTTGGAGCACCTTTTTACTTGTAAGATATCCATATCCGTTTGTTGGTCATTCGTTCTTAAGCCTTAATCCCATTCTAGTGTTTCCATTTCATTTTCCATTTGCTTTTCCATTTGGTTCTTCGCTACCCCTAAACCCTAAACCCCGATCCCTAAATCCTGAACCCCATGCCCTGAAGACCCTACATGCCCTACATCCCCAAACCCCCAAATCCCCAAATCCTACATCCCTAAACCCCTTGGCAGCAACCCGAGAAAGGCTTTGGGGAAAGCCTGGCAGGATGACTGTGAAATCGGATTGGTTTAGGGTTTTTAGGGTTTAGGATTTTTGGGGTTTAGGGTTTTAGGGTTTTTTTAGGGTTTATAGGTTTTAGGGTGGAAGGAGGTGCTCCCTCAGAATCCTTAGAAGTTCGGATTTAGGGCTTCGGGAAGAGTAGGGGGTTGCCTCTCTGTCACAAACTCCATAGTTGAGAAACAAAGAGGAAGCAAGATGAAACATGAAATCCACCGTGAGAAGATAGAGTGGTTTCCAACACTGGGGGGATCTCTAGAATAATGATTGTAGCTTCTTGGGGTCTACAGTTGGGCCCACTTTTTATGGACCCCCCCCCATAAATCCGAAAGATTATCGCACTACGAGGGGGTTTAGCTCCATCCAAGCAAGAGCGATGAATGGCCAAAGCGAGACTCCGCTTCACCAGCACCAACTGGCTTTGCATGAGAGAAGGGTTTAGGGCTTTAGGGTTTAGGGATCGGGGGTTTAGGGGTTTAGGGTTTAGGGGGTTGGGGTTGAGTTTTGATACAGGTGTCAGTGAGTGTATGTACTTTGGGTTTTCTAAGTAGAAGGCTATGTCCAGCTCGAACTCACTGTAAAGATCGCGCTCACGAAATCATGTTTCGATCTGACAGACAGGGACCTATGGAACTTCGAACCCTGGATGTCTTGGTGGCCATGCCTCGTACTATGGGTCCTGAAAGGCCACCAATCACATGTAGGTTTGGGCATCACGAGGGAGCCTCTTGAGGGTAATATCAAAACCCCTGTGTCCAAGCCCCAACGACTCTGCCATTCTTCTTTTGGGAAACTACAAGAAGGGCGGTGTTGCACAAAGCTGAAAGTCCCAGGAGCGGTGCCCCTTTCGAAGCCCAGCTTGCCGGCAACTAGGCCCCAGGAATGCGAACAACATATAGTAATACAGTAGGAATATAGTAAGAAAATATAGTAATAATATAGAAATAAGGTAGTAATAACATAGTAACAATATAGTAAGCTTCATTCCTTATCTTAGCCAGCAAGGCAAAGAACATGCTGAAGGAATAGGAGAAACCTACGCCCAAAGCTCCTACGCCACAGAGCTGAGCACTAGAGTTCAAGCCTACGGACTCAACTGTAAACCCTGAACTCGTAAACTGCCCTGACAATGCCTTCAAGCCTGGTCACTAAGCCCTGAACGCTAAGTTGTGAACCCAATAGTAAATTCACTAGTAGTAATATTCCATTTACATAGTAAGTATGTAGTAAGAGCTTCAGCTCAGGACTTTCAGGGTGGCTTCCAGATTGCCGCTAAGCGAATCGGAATGTTGGAGAGCTTCCGAGCAGGCCAGCATGCGGCTTTCATAGGGATTTTGTGTCTTGCTTGTAGAGCTTTAAGTTAGGGGATAAGGCGTAGGGATTATGTAAGGTCTAGGGAATTCGGTTGAGGTAGGATTCGGAGTTGCAATACGTTTTAGGAGGTAATAGGGACTATATGGAGCTTAAAAAGGCCTATACTTCAGATCCCATATTTCATGATTGCCAGAAGAATAATTGTGGTCGCTAAGCCCTTGATCCTACATCCTAGCCCCTAAACCATAGACCGGAACCTCACCGCTCAGAATGATAGCGAACCTTAAAGTAGCTATGCATGTGCCGTCTGGACCCTTAGGAAAGGCCCGTTGGCTTATCCTTTCGAAAGGAGAAAAGTATTTGTGTGGTCTTCGGTGCAGCCAGCCTAGCAGACCTTGACAACCTGCGGAGTGCTCAGCTACATACACGCCACGAAGATCCAGCTTCACAAGGCATCCCGTTCACATCATTTCAAGACCATGCCTCTTTGGAAAGTTTGGAAGGCAAAAGTCTGGGACTCGCACAATCGAAATCCTGAGGAAACTCTTGCGTACGCTCTTAAGAGCTCTAGGCCCCCAGGCCAGATGAGATTAGCAGTTGTCACATGCACCTCCAACGTGGAAGTATTGTCCACGGCCCATGCTATCGCAATGGCTAAGCCCAAGCCCTCCCATGTCCTGCTGGGTGCAGTTTATGAGACCACTCCGGAATCTTTTTCAGTGCCCAAGCTCCAGAAAAGCAATTGCTTAAGATTGAGTCAGATGGTAACCCTCCATTCTCATTGAGGACTATCCTACTTGGATGAATACCTACATGCCTAGCTGCAGCCGTAGGCATTGCCTGGCTATCGGTCGGGGGCTGAGTGAAGCCGTTGCGCAGGCTCTTTTTGGACCTTTGTGGCTGAGGGGCTGCGTGGTTGCTTTACTACTATTTACACTGATATCCCAGGCATTTGGCATGTGGTATTACTCCAAATGTGGGAAGACTGGGTGCGGCTGCATCAGATGGCGTTCAGGGGAAGCCTCCAAACGAGCAAGCTCAGGTCCGACATAATCAGGTTACAGAAGGGGTTCATCCATACTCCTTAAAATGGAAGAAGCGAATTAGTGCAAG